TGAACCCATTCTGGTAAGATAAATTGTTAACTTTTAATAATAAACAATGAATAAACAACTCCTGAAAAATAAACTTTAGAAAAAATACTCCCTTTGCCTCCCTGATCTTTAGACTCATTATTTGTGATTTTGATGGACTTCCACTGAAATGTTTTTAATAGCTTGGTTTTAACCACAAAGAACAGGAAAGTGGATTTTGCTGCATAAAAAGCTCTGGTCTAACATCTGAAGCCTAAAGGATGCTTGACAGGTAAATCACTTCAATATATTTTCCAATTAAGGTAGTCCGCCTTGGATATGAGTCAAACAAAATATTTTAGATTTTGCCTCATCAGCTGAATGTAGAACCAGTGGCTCAGTGGTGGTGGATGTCGGCCAGTGTGTGGATTCTAGGAGCCAGGCTAGTTGCTTCAGAGTCACCTACAGCAGCTCTTTGTTCATGCAGATCCTGGATTCACTCCCAGAGTTTCTGATTTAGGAAATGTGGGATGGAGTTTGGTAATCTGTCCTTTTAAAGATTCCCAGGTGATACTTAGTATTTATTCCAACACAGATTGAAGCCTTTAATACTTAGAGGTAAAGAAATATGGATGTTCGGATTCTACCAAAAGTAATTAATTGTGTCTTCTCTGTCCAAATTTGAGTAGAAATGACTGCTAATGCTGTGACTGTTGGGGAAGGGCTGCTGGGGAGGAGCAGATGTGAGATGAGATGCAGGAGCTGCTCTGCATCTAGGCCTGATACAGTTCAGAGAGTGGTCTTTGCGCTGCATTCAGCTGTCCATACCACTCAGAGCTTCCCCTCAGGAAATGAGAGACACTACTATGATAGATGTGGCCACATTCTGAAGTTAGAAACTTTTAAAGGAGGTGAATTTGAAGGACTTACATTTCTTTAACTTTTAGATTTTGGCATGGGCAATAATGATATATAATATTCTATGGAGCTTTTTAAACTATAAAGGGACTCTTGGGCTTTGATTCTAGATAGCTCAGGAACCAGTGGAACTAAGGCAGTATTTATGCTATTCCTTCTTAGCTTCGAGGCCAGAATCAGGTTGCGTTTCAATGCAGGGACAGAGTACAATTGCGACAAGCGAGGCAGTTTGTTAGTAAATACACTTGAGTGAGTTGATGCTCTTCCAGAGCATCAGTGTTTATACTTCTGACGAATCACTTAGGGGAAGAAAGTCTGCCTGTTAATAAGCCAGCATGATGTGACTAATGGCAGTTTTGGCCCCAGCCTGGACAGTAGGGGCTCACCTAGTCAAACACGTCTCACTTTTGGCTCTCTCTCAGCCTGAAAGGCTTAGAAAGAGTTTCCAACAGAGGGCCTCAGGGATTTTGGTACAAAAATGCTGAAAAACATCAAGTACAGTGGTATGTTTATAAAAAATCACAGGGGCCTTAGTCCCTCCTAAGAGAGGTCATGGAAATGCATTTGTTTAACCTCACAAAAGCTCTTGATCAGAGAGATTTTTACTCGATTTAATCTACATCCGTTGCAATTCTATAATTGAATAATGTCATTTATTATGAAAGTTATGAGCGTGTTTCTAACTGTGACCCAGACAACTTTAGCTGTGTTCTCTCTGTCTCCTTTTTCAAGTACAGTGACTGAAGTTTTGGGCCAAACTTCTTTCTTCAAGGAGGATTTTTAATGTGTTGCTCACCTGCTGTGAGGGAATATTAAGCAACAGATATCCCCTGAGCAGATCCTTTATGTGTAGATGGTGGTGTGGGGGCCATAACAACAATGTCACTGGATTGACCCCATCATCCCCTGTAACTCTGCTTGGGGAAGGCAAAGCAGATGAAATGAAGAACTGACATGTGAACTGGGGCCTTAGGAGTTAAGAAGGGAAAAGCACGTCCCAAGGCAAAGAACCTGAGGATTCTGGTTCCCCACATGGTTTCCTGCATGTGATGCTTCTTGCTAGAGATAGGGATAAGGTTGGAGAGACACACTGGTTCCAGGGTGTGGCAGAACCTCTGTAATATCATCAGATCCCTGATTTTAAAAACTATCCATATGCCAGTGAACCTCACATAGACCTCTCTCCTGTTTTTACCTCTCCCCAGCATCCAGATTGCTATATTAAGTGCCCACTCACACTTCCAACAGGAACACCTGGAAGGCATCTCAGAGTTGAATTTCCCCAGCCTGCTCCACTTCATTATTGGCCCCATCTCATCAATAAAAACAAAGATATTGGAACTATCTTTGATATTCCTCCATCCCTCTTTCTTCCACATCAATTTACCAACCAGTCCTGCTGACTGAAACTCCAAGACACATTGCAAAGACACAAACCACTCTTCAGCTCCACTACTCCCCTCTCTTTGATCACTTCAGTAACCTCCTGGCTGCCTTGGAATTACCTTGTAAAACTGATCATCATACTCCTCATTAGGTGAAGTTGTTAGCAATCAAAATTCTGCTACAGTGGGCTCAAGAGAAATTAAGTGTGGGAGAAGTAGCTGACTCTTAGAGGGTTTTGCTTTACAAGGCAAATGTGGGTTGAAAGAAATGTATTTGTTTTCTAAGTTGGGATGGGGAACCATGTCTGTTGTTGATGGTGTATTATGGGAGAAAGGGAACACAAGGTGATGCAGGGGAAAGGGGAAGATGGCTGGAGCTGCCCTCTTGGTGTTGCAGCATGTGCAGCTCATCCACAGCCACAGGAGGGAGGTTCTGAGTGTCTGCTTCACAAGTGGGCTTTATTGTTATTCTTTAAGTTTAGTTGGTATACAATATTATATTGGTTATATTAGTTTCAGGTGTATAATATAGTAATTTGACATTTTTATACCTTGCAATATGATCAACCCACTAATTCTACTTATAATCTGTTACCATGTAAGCTTATCACAATATTATTTGCTATATACCCATTCATTTGTTCACCCATCCCCCACCCACTCCCTTCTGGTAACCATCTCTTCTCTGTTTCTATGAGTCTTTATTTATTTATTTTTGCTTTGTTTTGTTTCTGTTTTTTAAAGACAGGAAGGGAAAGAAAGAGAGAAGGAAACATCAATGTGTTACTGCCTCTTGAGCACTCCCTACAGGGGACCTGACCCACAACCCAGGCATGTGCCCTGACTGGGAGTCCAACCAGCAACCCTTTGGTTCACAGGCTAGAGCTCAATCCACTTAGCCACATCAGCCAGGGTAGTTTTCTTATTTTCTTTGGATAAATACCTGGAAATAGAATTGCTGGTGGGCTTTAGATAGGTAGTCTGATGAACTCACCTGAGCTTACCCGTCTTCTCTCAGTGAAGTAGGAAGTGGGGTTATTAACTGACAATGGGAAAGATAAGGAGGTGGAAGAAGAAGTAGGTCTGGAGACATGTGCTTTCTTTCTGAACCCACAAGGGACCCTTGACCAGCTCTTCTGTCTACCTGGAATACTCTTATGTAAAATTTTTCATATGATTAGCCTTTGTGACGTTCAGATCTTAGCTTAATGTCACCTCCTCAGAGAGGCACCCCCTGATCTCAGAGTCTAAAATAACCACCCCGTCACTCACAATCATGCCACCCTACTTTAATTCTGCGATTAGCATTTACCACTGTGAGATATTTAGCTTGTTTATTTTTTACCTATTCACATGTTTATTACTGCATCTTTTACTAGATATACTAGCATACATCAGGCTTTGTACAGATAGAAAAATCTTAATAAATAAGCATGATAAATCTCTTTTCTTTCAGGAAAAATTACAAATGTGACATGATGGAGTACAGTAGAACACAATTTGGGTATATAAACTTGAATAGGCCTGGAATTAAATTTGTGTCTGTTTCTCTGTGTGTGTGTAGGGTGGTAGGGTGCATCAGTAGCCAACAAGTCACAAGTGATCTATACCCTCCTAGGCAAATATAAGATCTAAGAGTCCTCAAGTCCACTCAGCACTTACTTGAACTTGGTACCAGCCTTCCTATGCCTGCCTTGCACCAGTGAACTTGTTAGAAGTTCAGATACTGTTAGTGAATATTATGTAAATATCTAACCTGAGTGCATCAAGAAAGACCTTAAAAATGGGAAAAGGGAGAGGCCAAGCTCCACTCTTTAAGCCTCAGACAGATATCTGAATTGGGCCTAAAAACTTTACTGGTTCCACAACCAAAGTCTAAAGCTAGTCTGGCTGAAAACAGAATGTCTGTCAGCGTAGGGACAAATGCAAACAAAGTTCCATACATCTAAAACAGCCTCCTTTTGTCTTATTATAATTCCTCTATGAAAATTCTAACCCTTCTAGGGGAAGATTCTAATTAGCCAAAAAATTCCTATGTACTCTTTAAAAATAAAACAAAACAAAACAAAACAAAATCACCCTAGTATACCCAGTTTAAGATAATACATGGAAATATATGTATGTTCTGTACATGTGTTTCTTCTCTAAACTTCTAATGATCGTACTGAGGTACTGAGTTGTCTAGGATTGAACCAGCATACCATTCTCTAGAAGAATAAGGTAGGAAGTAACCTTATATTTAGCCAAGTAGCCCTAGACCACTCATCCTCCCATGGTCAGGAAATACTAAAATAGTGAACAAAGATAAACTTTAAAAGAAAAAGGATTTCCTAAGCAGTGATTTGGTCCACCTTTTCAGTTAAAGCCATGAATATTTAAACCTCTCATCACCTTGCTGCAAACTGTAAATTTGAGGAACAAACCCAGAATAATGAAAGCTAAGATTATTAATAGATATTTTAGACAGTTTCTTATTCCACTTATAAAAAATGAGCTTACATTGAGAAGATGACATGCTTTTAGGGGCCCTATGATTAGTGATGTTCCCTGTTTACTTCTGCAGTAAAAATTAGAGTTTCTTGGACTTATACAGGAACTGGACTTAAGTGGTTGTCTGCATTTTTTTCCAGGTTTGTGAAATCACCTCACTGACCTGTAAATTGCAAATCATATAATCTGCTGCATGGATAGTCAGAATTCTGGACTACAGTGTTTTCTGTTTTTTGTTTTTTAACTTAGGCTGGAGGAGGAAAAATAGATTCAGAAGAGGCACTGATCTATGAAGAGGATTTAGGCGAAGGACATGGTGTTGAAGGCGAGATGGAAGAAAGCACAAAATTAAAAATCTTCCGCAGGCTTGCCTTTGTGGCTTCCAAGCTCAAAGAGTTTATTGGCAACATGATAACCACAGCTGGAAAAGTTGTTGTGACGATTTTACTCGGCTCATCAGGTGAGAGTTTCTAGTACTGAGTGGAGCACAAATGATGCTTTGAAAAGTAATGAAAGAAATGATCAAAGAGAAAATAAAAAAGGGAAATAATTCTGTTTCATGAAATCAAAATAACTGTAGCTTTTGTAAAAGTGGCCACACATACAAACCACACACACAAACCACACACGCAAAAGTAATTTTTCTGGTGCAGTTCTAGTTTTTACATTTTTAGATGGTCTTTTAACCTCTATAAAGCAATCTTTTCCATATCTGTTAAGTGACATCATTTTATATGTGTAGATCAGAAAAACAATTATTCTTTTTCCTTAGAACCTGTGAATGATGACCTGCTACAATGAACAATTTTAATGTTCCCACCCAGAGCTGCACAGGTACATTCTGAGGGTATTCTCATCACATTGATTCATTAGTAATCATAAGTTAACTCTCCAAGATTCATTATTTTTCTTTCTAAGTTAGATTGTAATCTTCCAGCACAGACAGCCGCTTCCTTTAAATTTTGGCTATGGACTGCTTATACCACAATTACGTTATCTCAGCCTTTTGCCTTCTTCCATTTTGCTGTTCACCATTACTCCAGATCCACTGTGAAGTTTATTCAATATTGTCTAGTTAATATTTCACAAGATGAAACAACTTAACTGTTTTTAATAGAAAAATTAAAAAGTAGAAAAGGGAATAAACTTTCTCAAGAAACAATTCAATATTTTAATGAGGAGTCACTTCAAATGTCCCTTTCTCTAAAGTTTTTAAATGCCTGTAAAGGAAGTAAGTACCTCATTTTACATTCCCCTTTTGGTGATAGTGCAAATTAGATTTTGTAAGGTAGGATAACATTTTAGTGAGACTTTAACTGCCACAGAATGTATTAATATTAGTATGAGTCCTAGTTAACTGAAAAAAAGGTAAATTGTTATTTTAAAACTGGTATCAGGGAAAGTTGCAATGGACATACAACATTTCTGAAAAATATGAGGGAAAAATAGAAGATCATGAATTCTACTGGTATGAAAAGTTCATGTTTACTCAGCTCACATAAAATAGGTAGACTTTTTTCATCTAATATTTACCCATATTTATAAATATCACTCAATGTATGACTTTTTTCATGGTAACAATAGCATTAATTCTACTTTTATAAGTAAAATTAGAGGCAATTTTTCATGATTGTATTTCTTTGTCCTTAGGTATGATGCTGCCATCTTTGACCTCATCTGTCTACTTTTTTGTGTTTTTGGGTCTGTGCACCTGGTGGTCCTGGTGCCGGACATTCGACCCATTACTGTTCAGCTGTCTCTGTGTTCTCCTGGCTATCTTCACTGCGGGACACTTGATTGGACTTTATTTATACCAGTTTCAGTTCTTTCAAGAAGCAGTTCCACCCAACGACTACTATGCAAGGTAAGAGGAAAGAAATCATTAAGACATTTCGAGGGGAAGTGACTCGCCCTTTATGATACTGTTTGAATTTGCAGGGATTCTTCTTGATGTCATTTATGTATTAAGCAAAGGGTTGATGGAAATGGGGGAAAGCAGTCTAGTGTTTTAAATTTATTAAATTACACAGTCTAGAAAGTAGTAGCAGGTCTACTCAGATTGAGGTGCTGCTGAGACAGAAAAGAGAGGAAGCTGCTGTTTGTAGCCAGTGGGACAGACACATGGTCTCAGGTGCAGAAAGATCCAGGAAGAACATTTCATGTCAAAGAATAATAACAATGCGTTAAAGCATCCAGCTGTAAAGAGCTCTTGTGGGCCAAGTAGAGGGCATATTGAGAATCAATCAATCAATCAATAATCAGTTCTCATTTAAATAAAAAGTTCTCTTTTTATTTAAAAATAAAAATAAATGAGTTCATGCTGAGAGAGATATGGAGAGAGAGAAATCTAATTTGCTTTAAATAGAGATTACTTATTACATTAACTCCTTACTATGAAAATGGGAATCAACAAATCCAGGATTTACTTTGACTTTTTTAAAGTTTATTATTTTAAAGATTTTATTTATTTATTTTTTAGAGAGAGAGGAAGGGAGGGAGACAGGGAGGTAGAAAAGCATCAATATGAGAGAGAAACATTGATCAGTTGCCTCTCACACACCTCTAGGTGAGTACCTGGCCTCCCAGGTGTGTGCCCAGACCAGGAATCAAACCAGCAACCTTTTGCTTTGCAGGACATTACCCAACCCACTGAGCCACACTGGTCAGGGTTACTTTGACTTTTTAAAAGAACTCCAAGACATTCTCAGTTAATGAGGGAAAATTCCTCTTTACAAAATAGCACTAGCTAATGAAAGGGAAAGGAATAATAGAATTAGAAAATTACCATTTATCAATTCTTAATGAAATATTTGTTTCTAGTTGCAAACTAAAACCATTACTTAAAATGATTCTTGAAGTGAAGAATATTTGCAATAATGACAAAGTACAACTTCACTGATTATTTGCTAATTGCCAAGGAAAAAGCAAACCTTTACAATGGTGGTCAACCCTTTACCAACTGATCAAAAATGGGAGCGCTTAACATTTTACACTTCTAGGTGTGATGAAATATGAGGTGTATAGCATCATATTGTTAAACTTTTAGACATAACCTCCAATTTGCAGAAAATATAAAAAACAGAAAAGTAATTTAAGTGAGTCCACAGGAAAGTAGAAAAAAATCCAGAATGTGGATTCCACAAGGAAAATGATGTGGTTTTCTCTAAAATCAGCGTGAATGTGACTCTAGAGTACATCCTGCTTCAATGACAAATCTCTAAAACATATTTTGAGATGAAATTAAGAAATTTCAGTATTCAGTATTCACTGGTTATTATAGTATAGAATTTTTGTTAATTCTTAGGTGCATGATTATATTGTGGATTTACAGGCAAATGTCATTATTTTAGAAGATACATGGTGAATAATTTAGGGAATAAATGTCATGATGTCTGCAACTTTCTACTGGTTTAACAACAAACAAGGGTGGAGAGAGAAAATTATTTAAACTTGGTAATTGGCATTGGATTATTTATTCCATTTTAAATTTTATTCTTGTGTGGAAATTTTCATAATTAAAAGTTACAGGAAATAGAAAAGGGAACAGAAATGGTAGGAGAGAATTGTCAGGGCAAGGTGAAAAAATGATGCTACAATTCTTCTCACTGACATGTCTCTGCGAAATGGTATAGGTGCTTAAATGAAGTAAGTCAGAGAAAGACAAATACTGGTATCACGTATGTGGAACCTAAACAAAAAAGTCAGACTCAGAGAAGCAGAGAGATTGGTGATTTCCAGGGCAGTGGGGTAGGGGAAATAGGGAGAGGCTGGTAAAAGAATACAAACTCAGTTATAAGATAAATAAGTTATGCAGATCTCATATACAGCGAGGTCACTATAGCTAGTAATACTATATTGCACACTTAATGTAAATTACCTTGATTGAGGTAATCATTTCACAATTTATATTTTCACCAAACCATCATTTTAAACTTTAAATATGTTATGATTTTATATGTCAATTGTACTTCAATAAAAAAATACCCTTTAATGGTGCATATTTATATAATATTTATTTTAGGCAGGAGTGAATAAATACTAAATTTCAGTATAAACATTAGTTTTTGACTAAAAGAATCCTTGATTTCTTTAGATGTTTAATTTTTGGATTATTAATACAATGCATAGAAGTAAATGCTTTATACTATTGGGAGGGCTAACTTTTAAGGGATGATTTAATTATAAATGTAAATATCTTCTATACCGCAATAGTCACCACATCCCCAGCCACCCTCATTTTGAGAATGTTTTCTGCCATCCACAGACCGATGATAATAAATACAAGGAAAATTTTAGAACCACCTAGAAAGCATTGTTTCTATAAAAGATCAGTTAGTAAATATCTTAATGACCTCTCAAGCCTATGGTCTCTGTCACAATTCTTTCAAGAATCCACCAGAGTGAAAAGGAGCCATGCACAAGATTACAAAGAATGAGTGTGGCTGGGTTCCAGGAAAACTTTGTGGACACTGATATTTTAATTTCATATTATTTTTATGTTTCATGAAATATTATTTTCCTTTGATTTTTTTCCCAACCACATAAAAATGTAAAAATCAGTCTGAGTTCACAAGATGTACCCAAAAATGTGGTGAACAAGATCAGGCTCACCAACTTATGCTGTAAGTCATTTCAGTCTCAATAGTGTAATAATTACCATATTTAATTTTCATTTGAATTGACACAAACTTAAAATTATAATATAATTTATTATAGACATTTTGTAGATAATCCCTTTAAACAGTTTAAAAGGTTCATTACTATAATCTCATAGAGTAAGTCATTAGAAGTTGGTTTGCTTAGCACGATGTAGACAGTTACAGCTACACAATGCAATATACAAGCTCATATAAACTGGCTTATAGATTCTTCACCCTATTAACTCAGTGGCAATATGAAATTGCATTTTCATCCAAAAAGCTTGGAAATTTACATTTTTAAAACAATAATTTTTATAAGGCATAATTTCTTTTTTAAATTAATTAATTTTTTCAAATACATTTGTCTCTGCCTACCCCCGCCACTTTCCCTTGCCCCCTCCCTCCCTCCGCACTCAACTCTTCCCCTTAAGTTTTGTCCATGAGTCCTTGTTATATGTCCCTTGACTTTCCCTTTCCCGTCCTTTTCCCCCGCCCCCCTCCCTCCTTCCCGCTTGTCTCTGTTGGTTTCTTTTCCTTTCAGTGTTGCTGGTCTTATTTTCCTTGCATCTTTGTATTGTTGGTTAGGTTCCACTTATAGGTAAGATCATATGGTATTTGTCTTTCTCCCCCTGGCTTATTTCGCTTAGCATAATGCTCTCCAGTTCCATCCATGCTGTCGCAAAGTTTAGTAGTTCTTTTTTTCTTTCTGCTGCGTAGTATTCCATTGTGTATATGTACCATAATTTTTTGATCCAATCATCTACTGATGGGCATTTAGGTTGCTTCCAACACTTGGCTATTGTCAATTGTGCTGCTATGAACATTGGGGTGCAGAGGTTCTTTTGTATTGGCGTTTTGGGATTCTTAGGGTATAGTCCCAGCAGAGGAATCACTGGATCAAAAGGCAGTTCCATTTTCAGCTTTTTGAGGAAATTCAACACTGCTTTCCACAGTGGCTGCACAAGCCTGCATTCCCACCAACAGTAGACTAGGGTTCCCTTTTCTACACAGCCTTGCCAGCACCTGTTGTTTGTTGATCTGTTTATGATGGCCATTCTGACATGTGTGAGGTGGTACCTCATGGTGGTTTTGATCTGCATTTGTCTGATGGCTAGTGATGCTGAGCATCCTTTCAAATGCCTCTGGACCCTCTGTATCTCCTCCTTGGAAAAGCATCTGCCCAGGTCCTCTGTCCATTTTTTGATTGGATCGTTTGCCTTCTTGGAGTGGAGTCGAGTGAGTTCTTTATATATCTTGGAGACCAAACCTCTATCTTATGTATCATTAGCAAATCTATTTTCCCAGAGAGTTGGCTCCCTTTTCATTTTACTGATGTTTTCTTTAGCCATGCAGAAGCTTCTTATTTTGATGAGGTCCCACTTGTTTATTCTTTCCTTTGCTCCCTTGCTTTAGGAGACATATCAGTGAAAAAATTGCTGTGTGGGATATCTGAGAGTTTCCTGCCAATGTTCTCCTCTAGGACTTTGATGGTGTTGCAACTTATATTTAAGTCTTTTATCAATCTTGAGTTTATTTTTGTGTATGGTGTCAGCTGATGGTCCCATTTCAATTTTTTGCCTGTAGCCATCCAGCTCTCCCAACACCATTTGTTGAAGAGGCTATTATTGCTCCATTTTATGCTTCTGCCCCCTCTGTCAAATATTAGATGCCCATAGAGACCTGGGCTTATTTCTGGGCTTTCTCTGCTGTTCCACTGGTCTATGGGTCTGTTCTTGTGCCAGTACCAGATTGTTTTGAGTATAGTGGCTTTGCAGTAGAGTTTGATGTCCGGTATTGTGATCCCTCCTACTTTGTGTTTCTTTCTCAAAATTGCTGCGGCTATTTGGGGTCGTTGATGGTTCCATATAAATTTTTGAAATATCTGTTCTATTTCTGTGAAATATGTCATTGGTGTCTTAATAGGGATTGCGTTGAATCTATAAATTGCTTTGGGTAGCATGGACATTTTGATGATATTAATTCTTCCAATCCATGAGCACTGTATATGCTTCAATTTATTTGTGTCTTCATTAATTTCTTTCTTCAATGTTGTATAGTTTTCAGCGTACGGGTCTTGTACCTCCTTGGTTAAATTTATTCCTAGGTACTTTATTTTTCTTCTTGCTATATCGAATGGTATTTTTTTTTCTGATTTCTTCTTCTATTCCATTGCTGGTGTACAAAAATGCCTTGATTTTTGAATATTGACTTTGTAGCCTGCTGT